AGTTAGCTCTGGGAATGAACAATCACCTTTTGCACCTCTGAGACGCCCTCAGGGAAGCATTCGAAATGCATTTTCCCACCAGTTGTATGCCAGGGATCCTCTAGGGTTATCAGCACCATGGGTGGTGTCACAGACTCAGAAATACATCTGTGGCCTCTGCCCCTTGTTCCTGGGACAGAGAGCCTAAAACCCTTGTGATTTCCTGACTGATACAGGTGCTCCGAGTATGTTCTGTTCTAATATTAATCTCTAACTCCGGTTCCTGACACACAGTTCCTTTATAAAAGCCTTGTGATTTCCTGGGTGATAAGGGCATCCTTTGTCCTAAGGAGGCAACTCTTGAATAGTTTCAGGATGGGAACTGCGCACCAGAAAGGCCAAACTTTGATAAGAAGTTGCTTCCCTGGGTTATGTGAGTCCTCACAGCAAATTATTGAACAGAAGGAGAAGCTTGTGGGCCCTAGCTTGTAGCCAAGGACAGAAGAGTGGGTCATCGGGGGGTCCCAACTGACACTGGAGGAGGGTAATCCTGCGGCAACGAGCCCTTGCAGGTAGACAGTGTCTGAATGGAGCTATAGGATTCCCAGCTCATGTCCCGAGAGTCGGAGGCTTGGCTGGTTGTAGGAAAGTCATCCCTACGTATTGGGTGTCAGAAGGGACTTCTCATACAGGCCATGAAGCAAGGCTATTACTGCTTCTCTGTCCCAGAAGATCTCTGAGTGAGGACAGCCGCTGCTCCCACACACTCACTGTAGCCACACAAGGCAGCGACGGTCCAACCACGACCCAGTAGTCTGGAACTACAAAGCCAAGCCTGCACCCTCATGCTGCGCAGGAGCCTCTCCCAGAGCACTGGCGGAATGGACGTTGCCCTTGTCCCTCCTGGTCCCCTGGGACAACTGAGATGAATCGGAGAACTGAATACTAACTGCATCCATGCCATCGCTCTCTCTCCTAGCAAGGCTGTGGAGGTGAGGAAGGGCTACTGACAATAGTTTCTTCTTCCAGTTCTTCTCCCCAGTTTGACAAGCTCCAAAATCTATTCTCAGCCTGAGCTGTTCCCCTTAATAAATCAGCAACACCTTTTTTATGGGCTGTACATATAGTCCAACAGATACACCCGTCGCCTGCTTTTCTCAGCTTTTCACTCAAGTAACCATGCCAGATTACAACGGGGAAACGATGACCCTTCTTCCCCTTCTCCTTTCCTCCAGGCCAACAGAGGCAGCCGCAAGCCCCTCTCGGGAAAGTCACCTTCTAGAAGAGGTGGGGCATGGAGGGTCGCCTCTGGGACAGTCCCATCTCTAGCTCTGGAGGCTCTCACTTAATAAACTGAGGGCAGCAGCAGGCTCGTTGGGGCCCCATGCTCATGTTTCCGGTCTGCAGGTCCGGTGCATGTTCCAGTTGCACTCAGCCTGCACTTGGAGAGACACACAGTACAATAACCTGAGCGATCTGGCAGCTAGAGTTTCTCACAGTCTCGCCTGCCTGGCAGGACCAGGGAAACTACAAAAGCTAGAACCTTGAACATCCTGGCATTTCCTATGTGTACCTTTTCTATTTCACATTTCTCTAATAATAGGTCCCCAGTGAATGCCAGACACTGTGCTTTGGGTTACATAAATTATATTATCAGTAATCCTCACAAGTTGGCCTGGTGAAACATCGTTCGGCCTACCTTTACAGATGAAACAGTCAAGGTACAAAGCTTATAGTTTGCTAAAGTGGAAGTGGATACCTTCTAAGGTCATGTGCTTTTATGGAGCTAAACTGGCACTAGGACCTGGCTCTGGGTCTAAAGCCCTATTTCCACTACATCATCATGTATGATGGCCAGTACTATGTATCATGGCCAGTACATCTCTAAGTTAATTCACAGACTTCTTGATTTGCTAAATTATTACTTTTTAAAGGGCCAGTCACCACTTGTAGGTTCTTTTAATTTTTAATCAACACCCAGTGCTGTACGTGTTAATCTAAACAGTATATGCATTTTGTGCTCATGCATAGAAAGCAAGTTTCAGACTGCAGACTTGAAAGGAGCAATATAAAAGTGAAGGCGGGGAATGGATGCACCTTGAGATCATAATGTTAAGTGACATAGAACAGATGCAAAAGGTTAAACATCGCATGGTTTCTCTTGTATGAGAAAGCTTAAGTGCAAATAAAGAGCAAAATAAAAGACAGATACTAGGAAAAAGGGAGATAGATCTTTTGCAAAAGGGAGGGGGACCAAGAGATGGAGTGACAGGGGAGGGAGGAGAAGGAATGGGTTAAAAAAATTCAGATGCATTATGTGCATACACTAACTCCACACAAGGAACGTGATCATGTACTGCAGACAGGTGGCCTCCTCTACCTCCCAGGTCAGCTCAAATCCGGGCTCTGCCCTAACACCTCCCCTACAAGCTCACCTCCAATTAAGAGCTCCTTCCCCCCATTCGTATAACATGCTGCTTATCTGACATGTAATCAGAGAGAGCACTGTACTTTTCTTTAAATGTGTCCTGAGTGTTTTCCACTATATTAACTATCAAGCACACAAGCGTTCAGAGTCACACTTTTTTATCTGTCACCGAGATGGCATTGTACATGTAGAAGTTGCTCATACTTGATCAAGCAATTAATAGTAAAAAATAAATGAATTGAGAATTATTCAGGAATTAAGTAGATTAGAATGGCATAATAACTGACACTTAAAACATACTTTAAGGTTTATAAAATACTCCTCATGCAGCCCCATCTGTGCCTCACTGTAGCCCACAGTGTAAATGGGCTCAGAGAAGTTAAAGGACTGGCTAAGATCCTCTCTCCCAAGCTTATTTCCGGCATAGTTGACGCTGAAGGAAAACGCAGGATGATAGCTGGACACTGCCCCTTCCTGTAAAACATCCTCACCAGCAGGGGGCACAAGCACACGCCTAAGTTTTGGAGTCAAACTGGCCCAGCCACAATGAGGAAGGAGACCTGGGCAAATTATTCCAATTTTCTGAGCCCTGTCCTCGAAATACTAATGCTAACGCCCTTGCCATCATCACCATGCGGTGGTCACAAGGCTTAGCAATGCTCTTGCTGGTACACAGTAAGTGAACAATAAATCTTCCTTCTTGTGATTCCCCCGTAAGATCATAGAAACATGGAGTTTAATAGATATTGATTCTGGTTTGAGGCTTCAATAAATGTTTGAAATTAGTTTCTATACTTGGCACTTAAAATAGGCACAGTTATACCAAGTAGGCAAATAAATGGATATTGATGAAAAAAATGTTAATACCCAGCAAATGTAAGAAAGCCAACTGGAAAAATCTGGATAGAAAGCCTTAAAAATATGATATGCCATGAATGTCTTTCGTTTAAAAAAGACATCCGAGGCTGAGGCAGGAGGATTGCAAGTTCGAGCCCAGCCTTGGGCAACCTAGCCACCTAGTGAGACTGTCTCAAAATAAGAAATAAAAAAGGGGATGGGGGTGTAGTTTAGTGCAAAGGCCTGGGGTTCCATCCCTAGTACTAACATAAACACAAACCCACAAGACAGAAATCAAAATGTGAAGGCATTTCCATAGGAAGCTGCCTGTGATGCTCTTGTTTCTGTCCGCTTTTCTTCAAATGTATCATTTTTGTAATTAACATTACCACTTACCTAATAAAAGTCTTTTTCTTTTAGAGGAACAGAGTGGGAGGCTTTGTTTAACACTGCCTGACTGCACAGGCTGACCAGTGGTCAGGTAAACTAAGTCACTTGTGAGACAGTGAACTGCAAGTTTCAAAGTACATCAACAAAGTAATGAAAATCCTGATGAAATTTCCCGGAGTTGGTCACCAAGCTTTGATTCTGCTGCTGCTGTAAGGCTGCAGAGGGAATAAACACCAGGCGCCCCTTTTTCAAAAGGCCTAAAAAAACGGCACAAAAATAAAAACACGAGCAATTGTTCCTGCAAAGGGCCATGCAACCCGCTAGTCTTGAGCACATGTAACCTGAAACCCACCCTATCTCCTGCTGGGGTTGGCCGAGCTTCTCTGGACAGCGTGTATTTGCTCTCCTTTACTTAATTTACTTTCCTGAACTCCAAACGGAGTGGAATTTCAATGTAAAGTTACCCATTAGCTCCAGAGCTAAATTTAAACCTTTAATTAAATTAATCCGTTGATCTTAAACACATTGCTTCTCCTTCAGAAAAGTGTCGCGGAGGTTTCTGAGGTGTCACACAGTGAATTCAGTGTGACAACTGTTCCTTGCTGCACTTGGTAAGAAGCTCCGCAGCCCAGCCCGGATGGACGGGCACTCGGTGGGGGTGGGGCTGTGACTTCCCAGATTCTGAGCCTCTGCTCTTGAAGGGTCATCGAGTCCTCGGGCAGGAGCCCATCTTTCTAGAACAGTCGGTGGATGCCAAATGCACGTTCGTGAAGTCAGTGACAGAAACCGTCCATATTGATTCCAGTATATGGGGGGATATATAATACACAAAAATTGGCAAGGTGACAAGGCGGAAGAGGCCCGCCTCGGTCTTCCTAGGGATGAAGCACATGTCCGGGCCGAAGTAATTTATGCCGGCCTTTGCTTTGAGACGAAAAGTACCAGCACCATGAAATGGGAGTGTGGAAATCAAGCATGGCCACACGAACGTGTTCACACACCTGGGCTTCCATACGCGCCAGCGCGTGCCTGTGTCTGGGGACGGGGACTGGGGGGGGGGGCGCCCCTGGGCCTGTACTGGAGTCACACCTCGGTGATCAGGGCGCTTTCAGGTGCGGTGTCCGCGGTGACATGCGGAAGGACCCACGTGTCGGCCCAATGCCAGCGCGGGGTGCCGTTCACGCGCTCGCTGTCCGCACCTCTGCGTCTCCCCGAAACTGCCCTGCAGACCCCTAACTCTCCGCGGAGCAAGGCCCACGCCGGGACTCCAGGGGTTCCACTAGCACCCCCCAACTCTCGGAACCAGCGTGCGGGTGACGTGCTCGCCTCCCGCAGCGGGCTTCCGTGCGCCACGGGAGCCACCTACCCGGTCCGCCGGCGGCGAGGGCGACCCCGGCCGCCAGCCCCGCCGCGCCCGGCTCGGCTTCCTCCTCCTCCTCCTCTTCCTCCTCCTCCTCCTCCGGCCCACGCCTCCCGCCCTGCCCGCGCGGCCGCCGCCTGCGGCTTTGTTTTCCTCCCAGGTTTCACGGCCCACACGTGATACTGTGTTATTGCTCGGAGCGCGAGCGCGGGGCGCGTGCACCTACAAATACGGACGCCCGGCCCGGCGCGGCCCGGGAGCCAGCGCGCAGGAAGCGGCGGG